AGACGACCTGAAAACCGATTTGGCCAACTTTTTCGTAGCGCAGCCGCCAGAGTTCTATTGGAATGGCATCCATAGTTTGCATAAACGTTGGCGTGAAGTGATAGAGGCCAATGGTGATTACATTCATGATTGAGATGATTTTGCTTTTAAATAAACTGGGTTGTAATAATTGCTCATGAAATTCCGAGAACTTTCTTTCCAATCAGATATTAGAATTAGGAGTGGGGTGGGAAATATGAGGTGGGTTCTAAAGAGATTCGAGGTGCTTTGAAGGGTAAAATTCATCTTGGCTATCAGAAGAAAACATTTGAACCTTGATCCTTGAACTTTGGACGCGGTCTGAAGCAGACTAACGCTTCTCCAAAAGTTTTTGAAGACAAAGGACATTCCAATGGATGAGGGAAACATTCAAAGATAAGGTGGCATCGTAATCCCCTCTCCTGATTATGAGGAAAGTATTATGTCTCTAACAAATACTATTTTCAGGACCGGGATGTTCAGCATTTCTGCGGGTCCATCGTATGTAGCACGAAGTCCCTCTTCAATACCCTAATACAGATTTCACCAGCTGCTGCAGCTGAATTTCATGAAATACGACGAGCAAAAAAACGCTAAATTCAAAAGCATGCTTCTATTAAAAGAACGAAACGTTCCTTGGACAGGCGGGGTGAGAAGATGGTCACTGCAGATGCCACTTATGGAATGTGAGAGAATTGAGAGAAGTAGTCATTAGGTTTATATTTCCCTACCCAGAATGAATGATCCTAATGCCCAATGGGGCCATCTCTTGTGAAACTCAGTTCCCTCGTTTTCACTTAGGAGAAAACGTAGTTGGGCGTGAACTGCAGTATGGAATCATGTTGTGACTCACGGTGAACAGTATTGCTTGTAGTCATCATAGGTGTCCATTCCGTCTTCAACAGTTTCCAACCCCGCTTTGGCAGCGCCAATTGGATTATCAGGGATTTCAGAGATGGCCTCGCCCCCGTGGTACAAGGTGCTAGCCCTATCCCAGGCCAGCTTGCCCAGCTGCCGCAACGTCCCGCCTTGAAGGCTGATGGGGATCCGCAGTGAAGGCAGCTCCTCGAAACTACTGCTTGGCATTTTTCGAAATACATGTGGCATCCACTTCTTATAAACTCTTGGCAGTTTCCACAATAATGACATTTACGTATGCATTGATTGCGCTCGCTATGCACTAGTACACAGTGACAAGTGCATCAGGATATGGGAATTTAGATGATTAGACCTGACTTACTATGAAGAAAGCCATTACGGTGAGTGGCTGAAAGAGCCTGTAAGTGAAGCATTTATATATAAATGCTTCATTAATGGACATTGCTGTTGTATACATTACGGAAATATATAGATATTAGCCGACACGTGGAGGACTTCCACGTACTCTTCGCGAAGAAGTCCCGAATTCAATGAATTCCCTGAAGCCAAGGACGGTTAGAAACCTATAAGAGGCCATGCAGGAGCGCCATTGAATCAGTAGAAATCATCGAAGCATCGAAACTACTTCAGAGCATCCAAGCATCATGATCCTCTCAACGGCTCTTCTCCTCGTCCTCTCTCAACAAGCCTTTTTCGTGAGTTTCCGTTCGACGTATCAATTGCGTGCACCATGCATATCTAATTTTTAATAAATTAGAAAACCGGGGATTATCCTAATATGAATAGGTTATTACCGACGACCGCCACAAGAAAAGCTATCGAGGGACAAAATGAGAATAGGATCAAGTTTTATTTTTATACTCGCGTTTATCTTGGAAGTATCCTAGTCATGTTGCCAACCAGGAATATCAACACACTCCTTGCTTTTCGCAAGATGATACTAACCTCTCAATAGACTCAAAAACATTTGGTTCTCATCTATAAATATTCATACTCACGCAGATTTTATTGATTCGATTAACGTTTTCAAAAATACATTCCGAAAATTATATTTCTAACAAGCTCTGCTTGTAATGCATCTCGTAGAAATTCATCAGCCTGTTGTTGACGAGATTTGGTACCGACAACAACTCACTCGATTTGAGTAACGCTATTTCAATGGACGACCAAGACCAACCATTTATTTCTCTTCTTTTACAGGGTCTCGCGGAACCGAAAGGAATTCAAACGGGGCCCTCGTCCAGGCAAAGTGGGAGTGATTATGGTGAAGAGGTGGAGGGATTCTTTGAGGGGTTATTTGATGTAGCCGGCGTGGCTGCCATTGGAGCTGCAATAGCCAAGTATGGCAGCTTTTGAGGCAGCGCCAATGAGGGAGGTCTGGTGCGATGATCAGGTGCATTTACTGGCTGGGCTCTTATTTAGCGGTAGGTGATGGTGCTCCTGAGATGCCTGCGAGAGATTCCTTATCAAGACGTCTGCAAGAAACCAACATCGAATGAAACAAGGACTTGCGGCGTTAGAGTTGGCACCTTGCCACATTTTGATCATGGTGCACTCTTGGGAATATGGTTCTCTCTCTTCATTTCACAATTTGTGAACTGAATATACCAGAGGTGACTGAAAATTGATGGCGTTTGCTTCATGAACCCTCGTGAAAGATTAATATTAGAATTATTTTGGGATTTAAAGGAGGTCTATGAAAACATATAGTAATCCTATAGGCTTCCTATAAGATCTATAGGGTTCCTATAAGATCTATAGGGTTCCTATAAGATCTATAGGGTTCCTATAAGAAACATGCATTTCAACATAACGTCCATGAAATTCATATAGAAGTCATGTACAAGCGGTCGGCGGGCGCTAATAATAATGGGCGGCCTTCAAAAAGTGTTTGCATAAAGATATGAAGCAGGTCGGCTGAAATCAAACATTAAACATTTGCAAACGAACCTCGAGGAGCTCGAAAGCGTAGCCGACAAGTTAATTCCTTTGTTCCCACTATCACCTTCGTGAACGCCTCAGTATATCATATTTTGAAGAGGCTTGGGACGGTTTTGCTGGTTTAGTTGTCGCAGCACATTCAATGCTCGGACATCACCGATTTGCTTAAGGGCATTCGTAGCTATCAATATATGATACGTATCACCACTGATTTTGAAAAAAATACGATTTCCCCGAAATAGCTCGACTTTAGCACCGAAAGAAGCAAACGCATGCGCGGCATAGTACTGACGAATAAACGCTTGAAAATGCCGCACCATTACCCTTCAGGCTCTGAAAGTGCAGCTCACTGGTAAAGTTTGAGTGGCAGGAACGCCTTCCCGTTGTGGCAGCAAGTGTGAGGCAAATGCCCCTTTTCTGCAGCAAAATGTACTGCTTCACAGCGCTCCATGCAGGTTCCCCCTTGGAATAGTCTTTTTTGATAGGAATACTCGCAACAGCTGCTCGTTCGAGAATAAGTCGAACTGGAGGCCTTCGCGCTGCGTTCCTTCCGTCTAGTTGCTCAGCAGGCTCTTCTATTCCTGCACTCAGCTTTCGCTGCTTCCCGCTGTTACGCGGCCCTACGCCATCATTCGTGCAGTATTCGCTGCTGCGCGCTTTTCATCACTTATTCTAGCCCAATGGCCACCACAGCATGCATATCCCGAGGCAATGTTTTATGTAGTTCGCACCGCAACTGCGGTGGCAAATGCGTTTTCCCTGGCAACACCGATCGTTTCGGCTGCAGCGACTGCCTCATCGCCGCCCTGTGCAACTGTAAATGTTGAGGAGGGGGAGTGCCCAGTTTTCGCGGCATGTGAGGCCAATAAATTTTGATTATTGAGTTCGTGGATCGTGAAAACTCCAAAATATCGGTCACGACATGAAACGCAAACAGAAAAGGATTGCATGGTTCCGACGGCTCGAACCGCCATTCCTGTCCTAAAAATGATATCCTTCACAGTGAAACAATCCATCAACAAAGGCTATTCAGGGGGAGAATCTGCAGTCGGTTGGTGGAAACGCGATATGCATTCACAATGAGCTGTGTCAATCAAAAATCTTGCGCCACTAAGTCTGAAGCATATACAGATAAGATGCCATAGCCTAGAATGGCAGAGCATCGTAGGCTTCGCGCTTTTAAACCGTGGATGACCTAGTCAACGGCTTAGAATGGCATCGTCAGCAATGAACGCCTAATTGGAGAAAGCCTGCCATTCATTCCTGGAAATTTGGTGGAAATTTTGGTCGATGCGGACGATGGAATTGTAGCTGATGGCTGACGGCTGATGGGTGACGGCTGACGGTCTCTCTCTCGGTTCGGTTTCTTCTTCAATCGTCGTTTCCGTTACGTGATGGCCGAATCCGGAGTAAAGCGAACGATTGCTTCACGATTATCGATAGTCAAACGTTCTCCAGTCGTTATCTAATTCCTCTCTATTGGGATCGATCACATTGGAGACACAATGCATCAGACACACGACAGGCAACGTGAGATTTATTTCGGATGGTGTAAACCACGTCACAATCAAATCTAGCATTACGAAAAGCACTTAATTTTCAAAAGGTGGGCAGGACTCTTGAATCACCCTGTTGTAATTGCCATTTACAAGGTGAGTAAATTTAGAATTATACCAAAGTGTTTATGGTCTAGAACAGGGGTGTTCAACTTGCGGCTCGCCAATTCATTTTCTCCGGACCATGAATTCCTCAACAGTTGGTTTCGGAATTTTGCAGCAAATTTCACTTGTTCACATTAAAAATGTGGTGTGAGATTCTTTAATGAGACTTTAATGAGAGAATAAAAGGCTCCTCCAGGGCAGATGACTTCGACCTGAAGAGACCTGAAAGTGCTGAATTGGTAAGGTTTCTAAAGGCATCTAACTGGGAAACAGTGTTTTCCTGAGATCAAATCATAGCTGGCTGATCTTGACCCATGTACAGCACCTCGTAAGTGCCCTTTGGAAGAGTATGAATAGAATGTATTCTAGTATGTGGCCTATACTAGAAAAGGAGAGTCGGTAATGCCCAAAACCAGCCAGATGCACTGTCTACTCAGAAGAATATCGTCTGCTGCCAGTTGGACTCCACTCTGATTCTTCTCCTCGACCGAGCCCTATCCGCCGAGCCAGGGTGAAGCGGTTCTTAGTGAATGATACGGTACGTTCTACATTTCACCTATCATCGCTCCAAAAGGAAGCTCATGAAACTGATATCTGCAATTGATTGCTTCAAGTATTCCGAAATCATTAATGACTTTCAGCATGAAACCCAATGCCATTTTCAACCTGACTGGAAATAACTCGCAAACCCGCTTGACGCGTATCACATTATGGCTTGAAGTGGCAGCAATAGTTTTGGATTTTTTATTCCATAGATCATTTTATCAAAATTTCCCACGTTCAGGCATCATCAACTACGGTCGTCGCTAATGAAATAGCACTTACTGAATTATGATGATTCTATGCCAAATCCTTTCCGCATCGCGGGAATTCCACCTATCCAACGTCACAAACTTGAACACTACCCGAATTAATTCACAATGTAAGCTGCATTCGTTAAATTTAGTAGATATGAACAGGTATTACTGTTACAAATTCCAAAAGAACACTTTCTACGTCCTGATCTTTCGTGTTAGGTCTTACTCATGTAACGACTACATAAATTCACGTCAGCTGGTTTTCTCTAACTACAAATAAAACTTCCTAATGGCGCTGAGCAAAAGACTTTTGGAAATGTTGCTTAGCCGACAAAAACATCGCATTGCAATAATGCATGAAGTTTCTTGAACATGTTGATTCACACCTTCACATTCTCCAAAAGTATTACATTTATTTTAGTGACGACCTACGCATGCTGGAAGGCAAAATGAAACAGTTATATAACAGATCTCCAGTAAGTTTTGAGTCATACGGAGTAATGCTGAGTAATGCTGGATTACACATGCTGAGTAATGCTTCTGAGAAGCTTTTACTTGATTCTAGCAGTTTTCAAGCAACTTAGACCGAACGTTCTAAAATCTCAGCAAAATGCAATATGTTGCAACGTATTTTTGACATTGAACCTTTTTTCCTACTGCTGATCATTCCTTGGTTTTCATTCCAAAAAATAATTTTTTTAAAAAAGAAAACAGATCGATCAAATTCTTGAGAGTCTCTCCCAATAGTATTTCTCTCTGGAATCCGGCATCCCATGCACATCCCATGCACATCGCCTGGCCTTAAACACGAAGGACGAGGTTGGAAGACCACATACGCTGTTACGATGAAATCGGACGTCGCGTTAAAACAACAGATGTGGCATTCCTCTGTATTATTCATCTGGTTTTCGTGGATATCGGCAAGGACAGTTGCAGACCATGTGTTCTGCTGTAGCAGCCTCGATGAAGAATCCGTAATCGTTGAGGCTTCTTCGAAACTCCGGAGCATCAGCGAATCGCGATCCCCTCACCCATTCCTCATCCTCTGTGACCATGGCCTCTTCGTAAGTGTTTCATTTTCTGTGTCCATAGCGCGCTGAATGCATTATATTTGTTCTGCGTGGTTCGGGAAACTGCTCATTGCTCGCTTTTGGCAAAGTTTGCGCCTATTTCATGAAAAATGCAACCAATGTGCTCATTCCAGGGAATGAACAATTTCCTTCCAACGATGCCGCTCAAAATTCCAAGAAACCCGCAAAAAGACTTTTGCTGGCAGAATTTACTCCAAGCCCGCGTACAGAACTGGTCACAAGAAAGTGCGACGATAGCTGCAAGCGAGGAAATAGTGCAACGACCACAAGTGCTGTTTACGTTTTATCGGCTACGACAGCGCCAATTGCAGAATACCAACAAAATAAAACCTATTCATATGACTGATCTCCGTTTTATTCATTCAACAAGCAAAAAACCCAGGAAACACAGTGTATATCATGGCGTAGGCACGCATCACTCATTATTGTCACACAAAGCAGATCCGGTCACGGAATTGATAGCTCCTGATGGACTTGAGGAACCAATGAAGCTTTCATGACGTCATTCGGATTCAGGAATGTCATGCCTATGAAAGAGGCACGTGATGAGTGACATCTCAAGAAGGCATGGAATTCGCCGGACAAAACATTTCACAGCCAGTTAATAACGTCTAACACACGAGGTTTAGCTACTCGAAAACAAAAACATGCAATATCTACGGCGTCAGCCACGTAGCCCAAAATCCTATAGCCCCCATTGCCATAATCGTAGTATTACGGTGATGCTGACACCTGCATCTTCCTCCCATTGGACACAGGAATCTCACCGCTGAGGAATAATTATGCCAAGTATCACGTCGAAAATGATGACTTCATCTGTAAACATCAGCCATTTCGTTCAGAATGGAGAACGGAAGAAAGTGAGT